CCTAACTGCGTGAAAGAACGAAACCAAGACCACGTGCGTGTGTAGAACGAAAAGGGGAAACCAAGCCAATCGGGCACAAATTGTGTCGGAATGAGAAGGAAAGGGTCACAAGGGACAAGCGAACACGTTTTAATTTAAATGTGCTTTAGCTGGCGGTCTAAAGCCCCGCGGACACTCTTGTAATACTGGAGGTTTCCCAGATCGGACAAGTGTAGGCCGGCAGGCGCAAAGTAGTTTGGGTTGCGTCTCCACAGACGTCTGTGGTTCCATACTGTGACCTTGAAGTAGCTCTGCACAAGTCCCTTCAGCGCCTCCGTGAATTTGTGAAGGCGCTGAGGAAAGTCAGACATGTTAGGTGGAATATGGAGACGCCAGATATCTGGGGAACCTTGGAGGAGCGCCCGGTCTGCTTTCTGGTGGAAACCCACTCAGTGTACACGTAGCGTGTCTATCTTATATGGCAATATCTATTAAAAATTTCATCCTTATTTGGTAATACTTGCGTCAGATACCATTCTTTCCTAATAACTATACCTTACTCACGTACTTCCTAAATAATCAAACATAAATCCATACGAATGTGAGTTACAGCTCAGGGTACACATTTCATTCGTTGATGCATGCATCATATTAGCACCCTCAAAAACAAACAATACAACTTCCTACATACAATACGGTGTTAAAACACACACATTTTAACATACTAGTAGTACTAAAACAACAATCCGTTATAAGAAAAATTCCTTTTACTCAAGTTATATCAAAAGGGTTACAAATTTATACTATTATATTGTTAAAATACTCACGTCGCCGGTGTGTTTTTTAAACACCGCCCTTGTTACCATTTTACTTTACAGTACATAAATCTCATATTGTTATTTCAAGTAATAATAAATACTCATTACTGATTATTAATGGTTTATTGGGACAAAATGCTCCATGCTAAAGCCACATTGCAGCAAACTAATAAGCCTTGCTGGAATGTCTGACGTGAGGCTATACATATACAAACAAAAGCAAAACATAGGTAACAAAAACATTTTGTACACTTTTCTCCTTCCACGTAGATGCACTACGGTGGCCATGGTTTCTCCCACATCCTTCTCAATGTTGTACCCATGATGCTGAGGAAGGGGATCTCACAGGACGACATCAACAAAATCCTCATCGACAATCCGCGGAAATGGCTTACTTTTAATTAGAGCTGTTGCCTATTGCAGGGCTTGAAATACCCAGGTGCAATGTACAAAATGCATATAATTTTCAATGTTTGCACCTAAAAATATTTTTAGGTGCAATTTTGCACATAGAAAATACTGATATATCATGTTTGCATTGCGTATCTCCGAAGTTTATACAAAAAGGGAAACTTGATAAGAAAGGGTACTAACGTTGGTTCATTGGTTACCAAGACTGGTCATTCAGCAGAAGTCTTTATCCCTATTCAATTGGCAAATATCTACACGTACTTGCATTGTTCATGTTTGGCCTCTTATTCTAAATATATAAACTCCAGATCCTGTATGGTAGGCTAGGAATGTTAACACGCAGTACAACAGTTGCAAACCGACTAGTTATAAATTTGCAAGTAATTTTTTTTTTCAAATTGCACCTAAAATTTTTGCCAACGTGCAATTTTGCACGTACCTGAAAAAAAGCATTTCGAGCCCTGCTATTGTATCCAGCTGCAGTTCCGTTTCTGTATGCTGAATATGCTGTGGTTAGGAGGCATTAGCCACAAGGCCATTCTTCTATCTGGTCATGAGCCACACTGGAAAACAGACAACTTACCCTAAAACTAGTACCCTCTCCCTGATATTTGTAACTATGCATTTTCGTCCTTTCAAACTCATGGAAATCAAGGTAAATGTTAATATTGGCATTCTCTAAGTTCATGAAACGCCTTTTAAGGTACTGTCTTTTTACTATTTTTTAAAATTGTTCCTACTATGTAACATGTGGGTTAAACAATGTGACTTTGGAATGTTTGAAAAATAGCGACAGGGATTTTAATACCATGGCATCGTTCTTAATTGTTTTAGCACTTAGCTGTGCTGTTTATCTTGGCTCGTTCACTACACTGTGTTCAAGTTTATACAGTTCAGAAAACTCACCGATGTGAGGATCGAGGGCAGACACAATGTTCTACTTTGTTTTTGACTAATTGACGTAAAAATATTCTCGAACCTTAGCTTTTAGAATAGTTTCAGCATAATTGTTACAAAAATGTACTTTGATGTTTATAACTATTTTTTCTGTTATAAGACACATGTTTTTTTCATTTCCATCTTTTAATTTCAACAATAAAATTAAACATGTAATGCGTTATATTTTGGGGTTTACCATCGTTATTTTCAAAGTTGTCCTTTTGTTCTGATTCTGTGTTGTCTGGTCTCATAATGCAAATTAGTACATGTAGCATGGTGCTGTCTTTTGTTTCGTAATAATAAAGAAAACATACCGGACCGGTTTTATCTACCCACTCAGTTCCTATCCAATGCCAACTGGCCACGGGTCAAATAAAATCTATATCATGCAAAACTAAAAAAAAATGCCGGACAAAAAGGCTACTAAGGTATTACATAATTCTCCATGGCTAATAGAGAAGTGAGAAGTTGGCTAAATTGACTTTTTATCTGCCCCGTATATACGAAGAAAAATGTTTTAATTACATTTAGTGGCCTTCTAAGAAGTTGGTACGTTTTGTTGCAAATTCCCCCGTAATTCCCCAAGTAATCATGTTTACGCCCATATTCAATTTTTTTTCCGCATGGCCAATTACAATTTTGCATGCCGTTGTCTTAGCCTATGTTTGTCTTATTTAATATGCAAATGAGGGTGTCATCGGTCTCCTTCCGTCTGAGTACACGATGGGCTTGGCACTGGAGGCTGAACAGGCCGATCCGTGGGTGTACTGTACTAGAAAATGACATTTTGATTTAGTGGGGCAGATAACTGAAATGATCTTTCAAATAATCTCGCAAATCTCTAGCAGCTCGCGTTTGAACTTCAGGGGCGTTTTTTGCCGGTGCACAATTTGCTCCAAGTGATTACGCTAGGGGGCGCCAAAAGTCAAATTAGCGCCCTTGGACTCCAAGTTGGAACAAATGGTGCACCGGCAAAAAACGCCCCTGCAGTTCCAACGCAAGCAGCTAGAAACACCAAATTTACGTCAGGTCTTTCTTATTTTGACAGCTTTCTACCACATAAAAATCATGACTGTAGCGTGTTTAAAACAGGAGATACAAAGCCCGGAAGGTTGGCTGCAGTACCAAAAAGCGCCGCTAGGGGGCGCGAAAAGTCAAATCAAGTGGCCCGCGTACTTTTTCAAAAGAGTAATGTTTGATGAGTATTTGTACTAAGTTTGGTGCTTGTATCACAATTTGAAAGATTCCTCTAAAATTTGATGCTATCTGCTCCACTATTCGTCGAGTTCATGTCTACGCACTCCCCAGATAAAGCCAATCACCTATTATAATTTTGAACCCAAACCGTTCCATGTGATGGCGTGTTAGACTGCAATTGTTATAGGGTTTAACTGAAACAGTACAGATTTTGCATTTTGTATCATTCTTGTAGGTTCAGGATCTTTATCAACATGGCGACCAGAGCTGAATATCATCTGAAACAAGAAGAGGAAGAGAGCATGCCGGGAGAACAGGACTCTCCGTGTACACACCACAAGTGCAGTGAATGTGGCAATGATTTTTCCTGTGTGCAAAGTCTGAATCGACACCTGCGAACTCACACCGGCGAGAGACAGTACATGTGTGGTGAATGCGGGAAACGGTTTAGCAGACTTGATGTTTTAAAGACACACATACGGACTCACACAGGGGAGAAACCCTACAGATGTGAGGAGTGCGGCGGAATGTTTAGTGAGCTGAGTAAGCTGAAGAGACACATGAGGACTCACACAGTTTATAAACCATATAGCTGCGATGAGTGCACCAAGCAGTTTCAGTTTCAGTTTTCAGTTTTTATTCGCACTTTAAAACAAAATACAGACACAAGAAAATATAAATGAAATGTGACAGTGCAGGGAGGCCGGAAGCATAAAATGCTTATGAGGAGGCCTCCCTTCATAACTTAATTAACAATTCAAATTAATCGGATAAATAAGAAATAACTTACTAGGTAACGGGTAAATGAAACAAAACAATAAAATACAATACGATACAATACTATCTACAATAATGAAAAGTAGTAATGAAAAGTAGTAAACAAGGAAACTTAAACAAAAATTAAGAATGTGTGGGGTTATTTATGAAAGTTGCTTTGGTATGATTTTTGAAAATGGTGACGGAGGGACTAATTTGTAAAGTTCTACTTAGGTTGTTCCAAATTGTTGGGCCTCTGTACGTGATTGTAAATTGACGAAGATTCGATTTCGCATTGGATGGCCTTAAATAATTGCATTGACGTGTAAAGTGGTTGTGGATGTCTGAGTTTAATAAGAAGGTGTAGGTGTCGTGGAAGGTTTCAGGAAGGCAAGGACATTTATTCATTATCTTGTACATTAAAAGACTTGTTTGTAGTTTATTTATGTCATTTATGGACAGTATTTTGAGCTTTTTAAACAATGGTGCAGTAGGGAAAGTGAATGAAACTTTTGACGCTATCCTGATGTATCGTTTCTGAAGCAAAAAAAGCGGTTTAAGTGATGTAGTGTATGTACTTGCCCATATAATATTACAATAACTTAAGTAAGGATAGATAAGACTATAATAGAGAGTGATAAATGTTTTAGGAGATAAAAGATTTCCTACTTTCCGTATAATACCAATGTTCTTGGATATTTTTTTACTAATAAGATCGATGTGATTTTTCCATGTTAATTTTGCATCTATTAAAACCCCTAGAAAACGGGTGTGTGTTACTTGAGTAATAAGGTTGTTGTTTATGTATATTTGTACGTTTTCCTTCGGGTAATTTCTATTTTTACCTGCAAATATTATTAAATTTGTTTTCTTAACATTTAAAGACAATTTGTTTGTTTCTAACCACTTATTTACTTTATCCAATTCTTCGTTCATTGTAGTTACTAACGTGTTGAGATTTTTATGAGACATGAATAGATTTGTATCATCAGCAAAGAGAAGAGCAAATAATTTTTGAGATACTTGTGCTAAATCATTTATGTAAATTAGAAAAAGTAGGGGTCCCAGGATGGATCCTTGCGGAACGCCACATGTTATCGAGTTATGTTGTGATTTGTAAATGCCATTGGTAACATATTGTTTTCTGTTAACAAGATAATCTTTAAGCCAATCATGAACTGTGTTTTGTAAGCCGTACATATGTAATTTGTCAAGTAATATTTTGTGGTCAACGGTATCAAATGCTTTTGAAAGATCAAGAAATATGCCTACGGTGTATTCGTTGTTTTCTAACGCTTCGGTTATTTTATCAGTTAAGCATAACAGGGGCATGTACGTAGAATATTTTTTGCGAAATCCATATTGATGAGAATAAAGAATATTATTTGTTTCTAAGTGACTTAAAATTCTTTTATAAACTAATTTTTCTAAGTATTTTTGAAAACGTAGGAAGGATTGATATAGGTCTGTAGTTTGTAAATATGTCAAGATCTCCGGTTTTGTATAGGGGTATTACTTTGGCCATTTTCAATTCTGTTGGTACTGATCCAGTTGACAAAGAAAGCTTAAAAATATGAGTAATTGGTTCTAAAATGGAGGAGACATTTTGCTTTATCAAAGATGCACTTAATTCGTCATGACCTGGAGCTGCATTTTTCAAATTTATGATAATATCGTGAATCTCTGTAGAATCTGGGTCTTCAAAAGAGTTAGTGTGTGGATAGGGACATTCAAAATATTGCAAAGGGGAACAATCGGTCTTTTCGATTTTGTTTGCAAGGGATGGCCCAATATTGGTGAAAAAATCGTTGAATCTATTAACAATGTCTTGTGGATCATCTATGTATGACTCTCCATCACGAAATTTATTAGGAATGACAATACTTGGTTTTTTTCTGTTAAGGAGTTCGTTGATTATTTTCCAGGTTTTGGATATATCCGAGGATGCGGCTTTTAACTTTTCGTCGTAATATTTCTTTTTAGACAAACGAGTAAGGGAGTTGTACTTGTTTCTATACGTTTTGTAACGTTTTAAAGTAGTTGGAGTTGGACTCTTTGTATACGCCTTATAGAGTTTGTTTTTTCTAGTTAACGATTTTAACAGACCAGTGGTAAACCATGGTTTGCTGTTCTCCAATTTGTGGTTCTGTTTACATGTCTTTAAAGGAAAACATTTCGTGAAGTGAGAATGAATGATTTTACTGAAATAAGTAAAAGCAGAATTAGTATCGGTACTTTGATATATGCCCTCCCAAGTTTCATCGTTTAATAATCTTTCAAATTTCTTTTTATTAATACTATTAAATCTACGTTGAGTACGTTCATTACAATTGATTTTATCTCTGGTAAGCGATTCTTTAATATAAAAGATTGGAAAATGATCAGATATATCAGTAAAAAACAGACCTGTTACGTAAGAATCATTCAGGGAATTTGTCATAATGTTATCAATTAGTGTTGCTGACCTATTTGTTACTCGGGTTGGCTTTGAAATGGTTGGATAGGTACAACAGGAAAATAGAGTGTTGAGAAAATCAGCTGTTAGCTGATGATTGCCATTCTTAAGAAGATCAATATCGGCTTTGTAGTCTGAATGAACACAAGAGAACTCACACTGGTGAGAAGCCGCACAAATGTGAGGAATGCAGCAAGCAGTTCAGTAGGTTGTCAAATCTAAAGATACACATACAGACTCACACTGGTGAGAAGCCGTACAGATGTGAGGAGTGCAGCAAACAGTTTAGTAGATTGTCAGATCTAAAGATACACATACGGACTCACACTGGTGAGAAGCCGTACAGATGTGAGGAGTGCAGCAAACAGTTTAGTAGATTGTCAGATCTAAAGATACACATACGGACTCATACTGGTGAGAAGCCGTACCGATGTGAGGAGTGCGGCAAACAGTTCAGTGATAGGGCCAAATTAAAAACACACATACGGACTCACACTGGTGAGAAACCGTACCGATGTGAGGAGTGTGGCAAACAGTTTATCCAGCGGGCACATCTAAAGGCACACATGCGTACTCACACTGGTGAGAAACCGTATTAGTGTGAGGAGTGCAGCAAGTTCTTTTTTCTTTAGTTAGCGGTCACAAGACTCACAAGAAATGAAAACGTTCATCACTTAAATGATGCGATGAGTCAAGTACTTGCTAACATTCATATAAAAGAAGTTTGTCTCTGTGTGGGAAGATTGTATCATGGGGATCTGTAGGGAAAACCCACATAAACGAAACTTGTGATTTTTTTTCACTAGAACTGTTTTAAATGTCAGTTCTGTATTTTAGGGATCAAAATGATCACCTATGTTTTTTCCCTTTTTTCATTTTAGTAACGTTCTTTCTTGTAGCATGCACAATAAATATTTCACTAGATTGCACCAAATTTATCACGAGTCTTGCTTTGATCTGTTAATAAGAATTAATGAATGAATAATATTGGGTAAAATCATGGTGAGTCTGGACTAAAACTTTAAATGAAGTAGAGTTACATGGTAGTGCAGCAGTCGTTAGACGTCAAACATTAATGCTAATAAAGAACATAGTTATCATGTTATCATTTCGTTTTAGTTATGGACGTTCTACTTTTTGTCTTCATATTTGATTAGCTGTTGTAAATATTTTAGTTAAATTTTAGTAATGTTTTACTTTTAGATTACGAAACATTTTAGACTTAAATGCAATAACGGTACTGTTTGTTTTAGTATTGCTCTGATAACTAACGGTAAGAGTTTTGTTAACGCTCACCTCCTAGTTTTGCCAATAAATTAAAACACGTTATGAGCTATTGTCTTGTTGTTTACGACTGGAATTTTGATGCGTGCTCTGTAGCTCCGTAGATTAGAACTTATCTGTAAAACCGTGGAGTTGTTGAACAATTGCGACAGAGGGTTAAAAACTTTTTTGACATCATTGCAACATCTTCCAAATTATTTTTCTTTAACTTAGTGATTGAAATCTCTGTAAATTCAATACATCATCGTGGATTAGTGTCAGTTATATGTTTTTTTTATTAATAAATAACCATAGACGTCTACATCTAATTTAAATAAATTCGGAGATAAACTTTTATTTCTCAGTGGAATATAATTTTCAGAGCAAGTCACTGTTGTCTGAGGGAGTCAGTTATTTATTGCTCACGTTTAACACTTCACAATTCTCTGACATGCTGTAGATATAATTCTAACTTATAAGCTTTCTACATTTAAAATGGTCCGAATTCGAACTAATGTTTGTCTCTTTTCAACGCTATAGCGCTTGCTGTTCTAAGACAAAGTCCATGAAATCAACACAATGTAAAACACCATGCAGGCATTACTATAATAAAGTTATTTTTCGCAGTTATATATAATTTTACCAAAAGTATGGCCTGATAAATGAACTTCTGTTGTCAAATGTCACTATTCATTTGCGACAAATTTAGTACCGTGAAACTCGGAAATCTCGAAAAAATCTTGTCACAGACTTTTACCTATTTACTGGCGCATCTTCGAATAAACTCATTTTGTTTTATTTTTGTAAATGGCGCGTCTAGCAGGCTCATTCATAACTAAAGCCGTTCAAGACCTTACCGATTTTCTAACATATTGTTTACTTGCGTGATGCCTTGTACAGTTTGAATGGCATGGTGTAAAACAAAAATATGATCCCCATAACATGTTCCCCGAGGACTTGTGTCACAGACATATAGACGGTTTTGAGATGATTTGGCCACGGGTCAAATCAGGTAATTAATGGACGATCCCTGAACCTTGAGATGGAGGGCATCCACTCAAAAATCTGTCTCAGGTTAGAACTATCATGTTTTTCACACCTACACCCCCGTAGATTTATCAATCTTCACACCTCATAAATTGTAACCGTGCCCAACGCACTCTGTCATTCCTGTATTTGTCTGAAAGCGAGAGTGCAGGTAATTAAATAAATTGCTAATATTTCAAAACAAGTCATTTTACTAAAGAAATACATGCTATTTGGTGAATGTACGCAATACATATTTACAGCTTTTGTGTAAACAATCAGTTTAAAGTTACATTAAATTAAAATGTTTTCAGATTGAAAAATGTATAATTCAAAACTTCTCAAGGTTTTCATGATTTGTCTCGTGTTTATAATTTGTCTCAAGGCCTGACCTTTTGTGACAGCGAGTGTCTGTAATTTGAAGTGTAGAAATACATTGAATACCTTGAGCTTCGCTTAATTCGACTGTTTCAATATAAATGAATAAATGATTGATTCAGAACTTCTCAAAGTTTTTAACTGTTTTTCCCACGTGATTATGATTTGTCTCAAGGCGTGACAATTTGGTTTTAATTAGTTCCAGTAATCTGAAAAGCAAAATATATCAAATGCCTTGAGCTGCGATATTGAGACGAATAAAAACAAACTATGAAAAAAAACTATGGACAATACTTGATAAATACTTGACAACAACTACTTAGTAAAAACTGCACGAGTTCAATAGAATTGTATTGACAAGGTAAATATAGTGCACAACGTAATTATAGTAAATGCATGACGTCTAGGCCAGATTTCATAACCTGATAACTCTAACGTTAGACTGCAACATCTGTTATGTAATAGCATGTTAACCTGACATGTAAATATAGTACACAATGTAATTATAGTAAACGCATGACGACTAGGCCGGATCTCATAGCTTGTTAACGTAAGACCACAACATCTGCTGTAATAGTATGTTTATCTGAAGTGTAACTGACACTGTTAACTGTTACCTGCTCCGAATTGTTTATGTTCTTGTTGTGAGGGCTAGCCCTTTATAATAGCCTCCGGCTAGTTGGGCAGTCCTGGCTGTATACATATGTCTTATTCAGCCTAATAAATCAAATCAAATCAAATCAATAAATTTAAGTGTTTTGCCATGCTTGCTAAACCGAATGAGAATTTCCCCTGTCAACTTTTGTAAAGTTCTAATTCAAATAAATTCTGAAATAAACTTTAATTTCTCAGTGGAATATAATTTTTTACAGCACGTCACTGTTGTATGAGGGAGTCAGTTATTTATTGCTCACGTTTAACACTTCACAATTCTCTGACATGCTGTAGATATAATTTTAACTTATAAGCTTTCTACATTTAAAATGGTCCGAATTCGAACTAATGTTTGTCTCTTTTCAACGCTATAGCGCTTGCTGTTCTAAGACAAAGTCCATGAAATCAACACAATGTAAAACACCATGCAGGCATTACTATAATAAAGTTATTTTTCGCAGTTATATATAATTTTACCAAAAGTATGGCCTGATAGATGAAATTCTGTTGTCGAATGTCACTAATCAGTTGCGACAAATTTAGTGCCGTAAAACTCGGAAATCTCGAAAAAAAATATTTGCCACAAACATTTACCTATTTACTGGCGCTTCTTCGAATAGACTAATTTTGTTTTAGATTTTACCAAGTTTTTGTAAAAGAAATGGCGCGTCTAGCAGGCTCATTCTTAACTAAAGCCGTACAAGACCTTAACAAATTTTCTAACATATTGTTTATTTGCGTGATGCCTTGTTTAGTTTGAATGGGGTGGTGTAAAACAAAATATGATCTCTTTAACATGTTCCCCGAGGACTTGTGTCACAGACACATAGACGGTTTTGAGATGATTTGGCCACGGGTCAAATCAAATGGTGATTAATGGACGATCCCTGAACCTTGAGATGGA